GTTTTTGAAGTTGTTATCGGAGATGAAAACTGTGAAAATAATTAAAGGTTAATTGTTCGGTGTGCTTTGTAGTAAAATGGTGATTTAATAGAGTAAGTCGTGTCATTCTTTTAACAAGAATGTAAAAATATGTTTGTGTTTAAAGACATTCATAATACATTTTGTACCTCTAAAGAAGTTTGAAAATTTTATAATGTTAAAAAGTAAAAGAAAATAAATTAAAATTAAAAAATAATAGTGTATGCTTTATATCTTCTCATTTGAAATAGGTTAGCCCAGAATTAAACATGTGTACAGTACATGGTATCCCTTAATATATTGCCTAGTTTTCTGTTTGGCCAAACTCATTAATGAGACCAACCCGCTATTAAGACCAGATTTGTAAAGTCCCTTCATTGGTCTCATTAGCGAGTTTTTACTGTAGACATTTTCTGATAAAATGTAAACTAACCTCCTTCTGCGCCTAAGATTTATTTGATATGATAATACTATCATTATAAGAAACAACACCCTTTTCCATACATTATTTATTTTCCATACATGATTTATTTTACGGCGAAATATATACTACATATTATAATATGTTGTTGTTTTTTTATTTAACTCAGGAAGGGATACTTGTTAAAGACTGCAGGTAGTTAAACGTATTTTCAAGTCATAACTGACAATTTTTCAATCAAAGTATTTGTAATAAGATATGACCAATTTATCTATTTGACCCGTAGTCCGCTGACGGCATCTAATGCTACCCATGCCGACTGGTCATGGTCACCACTGCACACTCTCCAGACAGTACATATTTTAATTTAATTTTCAAAATCTATGAAAATAATCAATGATTCCTAGTCTAATTTAGCCTGGTAAAAAATGAAAAATCAAATGATACCGATTTTGTTACATTACGGTTGAATTTCGAATATTAGAATACATACTTATATAAATGCTATCAATATACATCGTAAAAGACAAACTAGATGCAAATGGACGTCCGAAGCCTAATACACTAGGTCTTTGCCTTAAACCACTAGCCCTTCATGAATGGATGTGGTTTAGAATCCCGCTGTTACATGTGAGCAAACTATCTAACTAGCTTATGGTTTTCTTCCACTAGTAAAAAATTAAGTCTGCCATATAATCTTTGTTGTGATTGTGTGACATAAAAACAAACCAAAACAAGCAATCTTGATCAAAGTAAATTTATTGTTATTTATCTTTTATAAGTAATAAAATCAAAATAGCACATGATCTATCCATTTTGAAATAACATACACATTTCTTAAAAATCTTTGTTCTCAATTATATCGCAAAATTGGATACAACAAATTTATAACTGTTCTTTTTTGGTAAAATATGAAAGCAAAGGTCTTTAAAAAGGGCGATATTACCATTCCAATGTAACACAGGGCAACTGGAAGGGAACCCCAAAGAGCCCCAAGACTAGTTAGATATAAAAAGAACACACTGCGAAAAGTGATGATTTAACAGTTTTTGTAAAAACAAAATCAAATGTCAGGTATTTTGACAACGTTATTTATGCAATATCAAGCAATATTACTTTCGTAATATATATGTAAATGTAAAGTAAATGTTTGAATTTCATCTACATCTTAAAATTCACTGGTTTTGAAGAGTGTAAAGTAATATACTATATTTTTGCCAAAGCCTGCACATTTCAGTTGTTTTTATATTCTTATAATCATATAATGAAGTATGCCTCCAGATTCATGTTAAATGTTCATGAAATTTTGAAAATGTATTTAAAAGTAAAACAATATGGAGTGAACAAATTGTCATTTACAAATTGAAAACATTTGAAATTTGCAGTATCCAAAACGAAGTTATACATGCATAAAAGCCCCTACTGTGTTAGTCAAGCAGTAGTTTTATGATAATACATACAGTAAATGCAAAATCAGTAACAAAACGCACATAAAAAGGAAAATGTGACTTAAGTTTTCATGCTGCTTTAAAGGCACATTATGTCTCAGAAATCTCTATTCTTTATTCTTTGAAAATGTCGAACATATCATTAAAATGTTTTAATTTAGGATTTTGAGCATATTTAATGTTAAACAACTAGAGAAAGTTGCGCTGAATGTGCAGCTGTGTGTAAAATGGTAGCAAAATGTTAACAAAGTAATAATTTGACTATCATACAAAATACTCATTCACTATGATTATACCAATTGCCAACACAGCAAAATAAGTAAATAATAGTTCGTCTATATGGCAAAAATGAGTATTGTTTTGGAAGCTAAAAACAAGATACCAAATTTTTTTAGAAATGAAAATATTATCATTTGTGAGACATAATAAACCTTTAAAAGACGTTTCTATAAAAAAAAGACGCAATCTATATACATGATATACTGGGCCTTTAATATATTAGACTTTAATACCATAACCTATGTTCTCGTTTAATTGATATTCAAACTTAAAGGTGATATTATTTAACAGAAAACATAATTCAATATCACAACTTCTAACTTAATTGATCTCAGTATTTCATGCGAAAATGTTTGAGATCATAATGTTATAACAATAATGCCATTAATAATCGTATGTCTGACGACAGAGCTTTATATACAAAACGGTTTATGCAAACTCTTGTTACTTTTATAATATTTCTTTAAGTTCTTACTGATATTGGTCCTTATTAAGATTCATATTGAGATCATTCATATGAATCAAAATTTATTATTTATTATATCCATGTTATCTATTTCAGGTATACTTTTTATATAAAACAACTGCTTTTTAGCTCATTAATAACACCTCGTTGCTATGGTTAATGCTTATAGGAGATAATCACATACAAACACAAAAATATAAGACGCTCGCTCCCCCAAGCATATAAGAACACGCACACAAATACACGTTCGCCCTTGCACAAGTACAAAAAGACATGCACGCGCTCGCACACGAACATAAAGAAACTACCACACTTTTACATTTCTTTTAAATATGTATGGTTCAAAGTTCTAACATTGATCCATAATTTTAAATAAGGAACATGTTAATTAATTCTGATACGTCATATTCCACACAATCGCAAACTCTCTGATAGAAAAAAATAAGGCACAAGATAATAAAACATAAAACCATTGTGAAATAACGTATACAAGATAAAGATGTCTAGATGTTAGCTTGTTAAACAAAAGTGAGCGAATCAAATTTAGTTGTAAAATTGCTGTTATAAATAGAATATTCTGTCATAAAAGGGCTTAAAATTATTACTTTACATACTTAAAGGGGCAAATGATAACCAATTCCGCAAAATAAATCACTCATTTATCATAAATATCTAAAAGTATTATTTCTCCTTACATAACTGCAAGTAAGACATAATAGAAAATACAAACAAATAAGGTAAATGTATACCATACAGTTAAATAAATTCAAAATGTGTTTCCAAATTAAAGCAAGAGCATTCTGAATATACTATTTTATAAAACGAACATTTTAAAAATAAAATAAATTCAAATGCTCCTATTTAATTTCAATGCGTTTACATGTCAAACAATGATCCAAAAAATAAAATCTGATAACAGGTTCCTGTTGTAAAACGCTTAACAGAATGTAGAATTGTGGCAGAACAAACGAAAGAAAGATAAAGAAAATAAAAACGTTCATACGACAATCATACAATGGCAAAGTCATGGTTTATAGAGTTATATAAATTTTAATTGCATAGGTACTAAAGCATGTAAAGTTATGGCACAACTTTGAAAGTTGGAATGTATAAAAATATGGCACAACGGAACACAAAATTTAAAAACATACTGTCATGTCGGTCAGATAAAATAAGTTTTCTAAATGATATACTAACAAAAAATGCGGCAAACAAACAAACAAACATATTGCATATACAAACAAACTTATTGCGGCATTAAAATGACTGTATGCCATGTAAAATGATATCTTTTATTTATTATTATTTTCATTTTAATGGTCTAACATCTTAACAGGTTACTGCAAATTTACAGCTAAATCTTATTTCTGTTATATGTTCAGATACCATTTATAACATGACCTGATGTGTTTGAAACATTTTGGATCTATTTTGTATCATAACATGTAGCACATTCACTTTAGTGAGTAGTTTAACGCAATATTGCAGTTCAATACACAGTTTCTGTTTCGCCACTATTATGAAGACTTGTTGTCTCCCCTTAACTAATTCGACTTGCGATTAATATAATAGTAAATGGAAAGTAATCAATACAATAAACAGCTTTTTATTATATTAATGTAAAATGTAAAAATTGCTAATGACAACTATAATATTACTGTAGCCAAAACCATATTTCTCATGAATATATGATTTAAATCATTAATTACTTGCAAATATACATGAATAAAACACTTTTTTTCTAAATTTTAAGTTTCTTATACATTTCTTCTGTCTCTTTTTATTGGAAAAAAGGGAAAGGTGAATATGGTGGAGGGTCATATGATAAACCAAAGCCCTTGGTGTATCCATAACCTTGTGAAAATGCTTTTTGGTTCATTTGTATAGTATCGTGTATTTCCTGGACTTGTTCAGCGACCTTGTTGAGAAGCTGTGTATGATCTGCTGGTGGGTTGATCTCTGTTGAAATCTCTCTCTGACGTTTCGTCAATGACCCTGACCGTCGTTTTGGTGAAAGAGTTTTTTTGCCTCGATTTCGGATTAACTGTCAGTTTCTGGCTTTTGCCTCTTTGAGAACTTGAAATTTGATTTTTTGCAAGATCACCGCGTCCAATCATCCATTAAGCGTTTTGGGGAAAAATAGAAAAAATGTTTTTTTGGTGTTCTGCGGAGAGGAAAGAGAAAAGGGAAATAGTTAAATAAAGTAACATTAAACATGAACATTAAAAAGACGCAAAAGTATAGTTGTATTTTTTGTTTAATACAAGAACATAGTTCAGTAGCAAAAATAATTTAGTGGAAAATAATGTCAAAACCATTAAAAGTTATACCTATAATAGATTTGTGAAGAAAAAGTATAAAATAAAGATTTTACAAAATTTAAGCCTATTTTTTGATTGTGTTTTACATCCAACAAACACGGTAATTCATATTTTTTTACTGAAAGAAAGAGGACCTCAGATGCCCCTCCGTCACTATTTCAGGTATGAACAGGAACCTAATTAGAACCACCTATTTCCCGTATGTTACCTTGATAGCTACCTCACGTGAAATAATCCAAGGTTCCTGGCGAGATTCGAACCAACGGCGGTGAGGGGTAAGTAGTTTGAAGTCAACGACATTAATCACTCGTTCACTAACGCTTGTGTTTATCATTTAAAAGATTGTACAAATGAAAACTAATATATATTTCTATGTAGTATACAAACAGTACAAAAACCATTATACCGTTAATCTATTTAGAAAACATTCGAAGTTATTATATTGTAGAAACAGGTTAACTGAATGAGACAAACATACGTAAAAATCGCAATGATAAACAATACACTCACCAACGTCAACTAATTTCTGGGTTTTTTGAATCTCCTTTAGTAAAATACAAGCAAGAAGTGAAGTTCTGTCCGTGTCGATGGTACGTTTTAGCTCGTCATCTGAGTCCCACGTGTACTTCTTAACAAGTATTTCTCTTTCGCGGGGTCTCAGTAAATTGCTTATTTTCCTCAAAATCCGAAGAATCTCTTCGTTTACTTCTACTTGAATTGTGGAAACTTACGAAAGAAAGAAAACACAGAATATGTCATTCTCTAATGAAGGCACAATTAACAAAATATGCATTTGAACTTTTCCACTTAAAATGTTAATGATTCTAAGTGAAACTCAGTATTAAAGATATGAGATATTAGATTACAATCTTGTTAGTATTATCATATGGAAGGGAGAGTTTCGTTTTCAAACTACATAAAAAGTTTCAAATCCACGTAATTTGCTAAAAGACGGTTTAATAAAAAGTATAAATAAGATATCAGATTCATGGACGTAATTCATAACGTTAACACCCGTTTGATCACAATTATAAGTTACAATATTCGCACCGCATATATCTATATTTCGATTATCTGTATAATTTATGAAACATAATTTCTTTTAAATTATTCTTTTAAATTAGGAAATAAATGAAATGATAAAAGAGTGCATACCTTCATTTGCGATTGATTCCATCAGGTTCTTAAAACTTTCCAAAAGTATCCTGTCCATCTCATTTATATCGATTTCAGCGAAAAACCGAAGTTTTTCTAATTCAAATTTGAGTGGTAGCAATTGGGACTGTAAATCGCTAAGTGCTAATTCAAACTGGCGTTGTCGTATACTAAATCTTTCAGTGAGACGATTCGCGACAACCATAGTGTTTGTGGAAAGCAATGTATGTATATCAACTTTATCATGCTGGCTGACGGTCTTCAATGCGCTCTCAAAATCTTGCAATGCTTTCTGGCTAGATGATGCATCTTCCACTTTGTTTTCTTGCTTCTCCACGTCTGATGACTTAAGCGTCATTATAACAAGTTCGTCTTTTTTTAGTTTTTCTTCAAGTTCCGTTATTTTTGACTTGTTTTCTGAAAGTTGACCATAGAGTCGAAGACGTTCTGTTTCACTGTCCTCTAATTGTTTTGATTTTGCTTCAAGCTGTTGATATAGGTTAGCAAATTTCTTCTGTTGGTCATTTTCTGTAATCTCGGCTTCTATTTCTTCTGGAAAAAAGATTAAAGTGTGTAAGGTTTGTAAATTATATAATCAATTTTGTGAAATGAAACCCGAGTTACTTTAATGAACACAGACTTATTGTTTGTTTTCAAATAATGCAAGAATGTAAGTTCCACTGAACATGTAAGATATTTAAACGTTTGATATGACGAGATAAATTTTATGTAGATATTTGAACTCATTTAGGTTATCGATTTCTTACAAATTGATGACTTTAAATTTGAATATCATAAGATAAAATTATATTACGATAGCAGTGGCTAATTTTAAAGCTTAATGTTTCTTAATTTGGAGTATTTAACTTTGATCGATGACATTCACCTTCGACATTGTACATTTTGTCTATTTCCACATAATCTATACCGAGCTCTTTCATGTCGGAGGTGCACAAATGATCTTCAAGCAGACCTTCTAGAATAGTAACATATTTTTCAGGTATCATGAGTGTTATCAGAAGACTGGATGATGGTTCAACACCAGCGATTATCACAAATTGCGCCGGAATAAACAAGATAGCTGCAATTCGGTTGCGGACGCTTTGCACATAACGTCTTGTACAATTTCGAAAGTTGCGTCCTTCAACGTGGAATTTAACATACTTGAATCCATTTTCTGTAAGGAGTACAATTTGTTATTTAACATAAGTATACTCAAATATTTAGTAATGATAACATTTCAAACAAAGTATACAAATGAAATGCATGTGAAACGCCATATGTAAATCAATTATTATACCATATACATCTTATGTTGTCTGGCCGAATGATTAAACTTCCCATTAAAACAATTCTGGCAAAATAAATAAAATTGTTAATATAAAGACTTATAAATAGTTTTGCCGCGTTGTTTATTATGTTCGTCGTTCAGAGTTTATAAAATACAACTTGCCTGGAAGAGGGGAAGCGGGGTAGAAATGAATCACGTTCCCAACAGTTTTAGAATATTCAACACCGTCCTTGATAAGATCCAATCGACCTATTATATACAACATTGCTTGTAGATATATGAGATTTTCTCGATTCAGCAACCCTCTTGTCCTCATGATATTGAACAGATCTCGAACCGACTTCATTTCATTTAATGATTCATCACTTATCCCACCATGTCCTGAAAATATGAGATATTAATTTAAGTTAAATCAATGCACAATTTCCATTAAAGAACAAATTTGCACTACATAGATTTTTTTTACTTTGCATGGAGTCCGATTATAAATAACAAAATCCCAGCAGTGAGTTATGTCTACATGTCTGTATTATATACTACAGTTAAAAGAAGCAACACCGCGCTCAAATGGAATTAAAACAAAACACTCGATATTCACTAAAACTGCCTTAGACAAGGTTATCAGCAACAACCGTACATATCTGCAACTGTACTGTCAATTTTATTGTCCATTCAAACAATGAACGTCATTAATACATCAAAGCAAATATATACCAAAGAAAGAATTCAACAATAATGTGCTAGAATTATTTCATTTTAAACAGATAAGAACATTGACGATTATACCATTTCAATGTTAGTTTGTTCGCTGCAAGAAAATATGAACAAATTGTTGAGAACATTTTTTTTGAGTTGGGCATGTGAATTATTTAACGTATTTCTTTGTCATGTTTATATATACAAGATATTGGTAGGCTAAACGTGTTTTATCTTCTGATCTTATTCAATGTACGGAATAGTTTACAGTTGCAGCGATTCTTACATCTTAGATCTTTCACAGCGGCATCTTTCACATCCATGAAATTTCACAGCGATATCTTCTGTATTTAAAAATTATCTCAGCTGTGTCTTTGTCATCTGTAAATTTGACAATTATGTCACTAACTGCATTTTTATGATTGGAAAACACTGACCAAAATTATGTTCAGGTACAAGAAAAGTGAAGTGCAATAAAATGTCGGTCAACGATTTTTACGCTTCATAGCATATTCAGTGTGCAATCGTTCGGTTGCTTAGGCGGCTGGCCTAAACGCATCTCAAATTTGTGTCCAAGTTTACAACGGTATTTCTGTGCAACTTCAAGACACATCGTAGAAATATTAATATCATATGATATTATATCAATTAAATATATCTAACTGTCCCGGGTCTGACTAATACGCTCATCTCAATGTTGATCGTCAAGCGAGGACTTAAATTTATCATTTAGCCAAATCTGCGATATCCTGCTAATGAGCTTGATGCGTTACCATTGTGGTATTTGCCAGACATTATAAATGACGACAAACGTGGAACTCTGCAATATGGTGTATTCCCTTATAAATGATACTTAACATGTGTCGTTAACGCGTTACCATCATTATAAACCCTCACGAGGATGCCGCAATATGAACTAGATGTATGAGGGGCATATTTAAATTAGTGGCAACGGCACCGCACTTTTTATAAATACCTTTGGAAAATGATTAGTAGAGTCCTTCAAAATAATCGTTATATACCTCTACACTTTTTCCAGCCTCACAATCCATTTTTGAAGTGTTTCCTTTGGTATAGAGAGCTTTCGATGGCATTACGGGTTTCGAACCAGCGACCGCAAAGGCAAGATTTGATGTATGACTTGAACCAAAGGTCACATAGAGTTCTGAAATATAAGCACCTCAACTCTCTGCATACCCCAAGACTGATCGACGAGCATGTGCATTATCATAGAGTTATTTGGTCCTATGTACCCCGAACCTTGGGTTATTTTTAATGTAGTGATTAACTACAGCAGAAAGAACATGGTTACGGTAAAATGATCGAGTGACACTAGTCCTCTCAGGATCAGAAACACAGGCCACTATTCCATCACTATCAAAAAATAGACTGTACATAACTCTTTTAACACCCCTGCTTCGTCGAGCAACAACTGTGTGATCGCTGTTTTCACTTACCCACACTTTGTTACTAAGTTTATTGTCGGGCTCAAAAATAAAAATGCACGTTTCATCTGCTGTGACAATTTCTTTCAGATGTCCAGGGTCTAGGATCTCAATTTTTGAACCTAGTCAATAAGACCGAGGCTTTTTCTACCCCCTCTCTCTCTTTTTTTTTTTTTTTTTTTTGGCTTTGGCAGTGCTGTCTTTTTCAGAGGTAGCGGAAAATGGCCGCCCAAGGGGGAGATCATCCTTAACATTAGCTCTACCTTTCTTAAACATTGACGCCCACCTGACAAGTGTACGATATGGAAATACATTTTCTCCGTACACTTAATCTATATTCGTTTTTTTATTTCTGATGCACATTTACCCAAATAGCTAACGAATTTTGCAAAAAGCTAGTTTCTACTCTCTCAAATCACAATGCAACTCAGCCTTGTTTACGACGAGTAAACAAAACCAAATGTATTTAAATTACCTGCTAAAATTTGATTGCACGTAAATAGACTGTTGGTTAAATATATCAATAATCTTTCTTTCCAACGGTATATTATACATGTACTTTCATGTGCAAGTCACGGATTGATTGCGTTGTTGCCATGATCTGACAAAAGTTCAGATCTACTTATTTCTTCCATGTAGAGGTTCTGATGACGGTCTTCTTTAAAATTCAGATTTCCCGAGAAAGCTATTTTTAGCCATGAAATCAAACCGGTTTTTACAGATATGCATTAGAAGGAGAATTATCAGTGGAAGTTGAATAATGTTTCAACTAATTTTTAACAAATTTTCTTAATTCAATAAAGTCAATTTTAATGGGCAAGTTTACCGTTTAGCGATATGGACAATGTCATGTTTGTTCTAATTCCCTACTCAGTATTGGTTTTTCAATGGTTAAAATTAGAAATAGCATCGCTTTCAAAATAATAAAAGCTTGCCTATGATTGGTTGTTTGAAAGACCACGAAAAAGTGACTGCCTATTGGTGAATGTTAGATTCTAATGCGTAGCGTAATTTAAGAGCTGATTTTAATTAGATTGATTGTTGCCACTAATTAAGATATGCCCCTCGTATTATTTTTCAAACTTATTGATAAACAACATGTTCCGATTAATATCACTTAATGACATTAATCAATTTGTTCAAGCCATCTGTGCCCAAGCAACATCAAAAGTCTCAATATTTTGGATCATCCCTCCTATATCAACATCAGCATGTCAACTACCGGTCGAGGCGGTGTTTTCGAATGATATAACAATGTACATATACTGCATGTTCATTATTGGACACAATCTATAATGGTCGGGTGAAGAGCTTGTAGTTACCTAATCTGTACCATGTTGCAGGTTAAAAGAATTGCACTTCCATATATCCACTCCTAATCAACACTCTGTAACAAACATATGTCCAGAGCTCCGAACTGTTTCCTTTTTCATCTTTTGTCATCTGGTACATTTATAGTACTACTTTTATTATCATTAATCAACATCACAACTATTTGGGTCTAAAGCTTTTGGTTTTGTTCAAAATAATAATTTTCAAGATTTACACATACTTGAGTGATATATAATATACTATGAGCTATTTTCATTAGAAAGAAAAATTTTCAAAACAGCTATGATGAAAATAATGTAGTACATTGTAGACATTTCTGTTGTTGTTTCCTGCAATTTCAAAACACATAATAAGGTAATTATAGCTATATCCTACATATTCAAGAGATCGGTATTGTTTTGTTTGTTTCATTTTACGCCTTTTCCCAACAGAATTTCAGTCATATAGGCGGGTAGTTTCCTAACCATCGTTCCTGGAGAGTTTCACAAGTACTAGACTACCTTCCTCCGTGCTAAACTACCAAAGCATCTCCCGGGGATCATACCACACCAGAGAGGTAAATGGATTAGAAGTCATCGACTCTAACCCCTCGACCAGGACATCGGTAATATACCTTATATATTTCTAAACTTACTATGATAGATAATAATAGAATAACAAATTAAATAAAAAAAGACAGAATGTAGAACAGTTGATATATTGACAATTTCAGTCTCGATGGCATTATCTTGCAGAAAGTAATTTGCTGAACTTAAAAGTAAGTTATGTTAGTTATGTTCTTCTTTCAATGTGTAATAAGTTTTCTTTGCTTTATAATGTTATAAGCATTCGTGTTATTTGGTACATCTGTTAATCTACGAGACTCTATACATAACAACGTTGTAATTTATTGTAGAGCATCAACATGTCAATGTGGCAAAGAATATCTTCTATATTGATATACTAGTATTCAAAACGTGGATTTATTGAACTCCTTTATCACAAATTGTTGAACACGCTTAATGATATCAATCACAATTTAAAATAAAAATTGAAATGCTTAGATTAAAACGCCAAAAAGCATTAATAATTTTAAACATATAAAAAGAATGGAAAAAATAGGTGTACAAATGTGGGTGTTAAAAACAGGAGAAAACAAAATTCATGTAATAATGCAATGAGCTGAACACAAAATATAAATTGGCATAACCAAAATGCCAAGTATATTAACTTTTATGGATTAAGTTGAGAGGGGATATGTAAAATTCCAGAAAAATCAGGAGTTTATATCAAATTTTAATCTTATTTAATTTCTTATGTTTTTCATTATTATTATTACTATTATTATTATTATTATTATTATTATTATTATTATTATTATTATTATTATTATTATTATTATTATTATAATTATTATTATTTGAGTTTTGGATTGTTTGAGTGGGTTTTTTTAAAAACGTAGTTTTTGTTATAAATAGAAAAAGATCAAAGATTCTGGTATGATACCTCGATGAAGGTGTTTCAATTTATCAAACTCCTCCGTTGTTATACCATCTGCTACTTGATCAAGGAATATATTAAACTGCCAGTCAGGATGTGGTTCGGGAATTTCCACAAAATCTTCGGTTGTGTCAGACTGGGGTGCCTGATCATCATCATTTGCTTGAGGTAATTGTTCTGTTGATATGTTTTCAGTTTCTGAATGTTGTCTTGGTGCCATTGGTAAAGCATCAGTTGAAATTGAATTGTCCTGTTCCATGTCTCCTACGGTTCGAAACAAAAAATATACATCTGTACATTTAAGCCAAAATATGTGATTTTGAGATATTTACTTGTAATATGAAAGTTTATAACACAAAAACATACCAATCCTTAAATAAACTTTAATTAATAGTTTAATATTAAACGCCCTTACACCCTTAAATAGGGCGATCATTTAAACTACTCAAACCCGCCAAATTATGCTTAAAGCATATCAATGTCTCAAAGGTTATGACTGTTTATCCATTTTTAACATCATCATTGGTTTCCTTACTTTGATTTAATTATACTCTCGTCTGAAATATATGTATAACGCCGTAAATGTCAAATAGCAGGAGTCACAAATTAAAAATACGGTTTTTTGCGTATAAAACAAAGTCCAAACATCATGAATTTGAAAATTATAGTCTGTTGAAATGTTCATGTGTAAAATACAAATGACCGTATGCTTAAATAGTAATAGTAAAAAATTAAAAAACAGAAATCCAATGCCTCAATTTTGTTTAGAATAAAAAAATAAAAGGAAAAAAAGGTTTATAATTTGCTTCTATACACAATGTCTAATTTCAAATAGAACACAAGGAAAATATTTAAGCATGTGAAACAAAACACTGTTACAATGCATCACGTTTCTAATGTTTAAACATACATGTCATTACAAATAATCCTCGGCCTTATGGCTATTGATTACAATGTATATTATTTCGGGAATTGCTCCGTTTAATAAAGCCAAAGCATGCGTGTCATTGCAGGTATAAAACAGACACAATGTGTTGTAGTTTCTTTTCCGTAGTGTACACAAGCCGATAAATAAATATGGGTCAGGCTCATATGAAGCATGTCGAATAAGTAACGAGTGTTTATACATATATCATTAACAAATATGAAAGCAATAATGAAGTTATAAAGTTATAATATAAATATATTTTAACTTAAAAGGTCATGGTCACGGTCATAATGGCTTCTAGGTTCAAGGCATGCCTTTGCACAGTAAAACAACAAATATCACAGTACTATGTCATTTTGGTTTTGAAAACAAATTATTTAGGGTTTTACTAGTTTACCTTTATTTAAATTGTTCCCCTTTGGCGGGGCAAAATTGACCTCAGGGTTATTAATTAAATGTAACTAGATACAGATTCACGTGAACAATATGAAAGGCTCTGAAGAAGAAAATCTTCTAAGTTTCCCAATTAGAATATATACGTATATCACTATTTAAGAATTTGCGTCCAACGGTAAGGGCCATTTTAATCGCTATGGCTATGAATGTAACAAAAATGGAAGAGGTGAACAAGGTTCGAAATATCAAAGTTTCAGACCTTGCAGTTCTGAAGACTTTTGCAATATATTAAAGCTTTTTGCCTGTTGGTTTTGGTGAAGTAATATTTTTTCTATAATTGTCCTAAAAGGCATTTTATAATTTTGAGATTAACAATAGAATAATTATAGTTATGATCTATATAACGCACAAACACGCGCGACAAAAATATGTACGCACCCACGAACGCATAAACGTCAATTGCTATATTGCATTTCATTAAAAGACAGACGGTGACATCGTGTATATCCAGTAACGCAGGAATGTGCAAATAACGCAGGAATTGTGCAAAAGTAACGCAGAATTATGCAATTTAGTGGCTTAAACGAGCCCCGCGAAAAGTAAATGGACCAAAATATTTTATTGTACACCAAATTAGAAGAAATGAATTAGCGAATACGGTTGCTGAGACATTATACTTTAAACCTCATTAAAATATTTCCATGAAAATGTTTAATTTTCAAGATCATTCGTGAAAATGGAAGACCTGACAAGCGAATTGATGGCGATTTTTCGTTCCATTGATATTTTTAAATACAATAACATACATATTACTTTCTGATTTTTTATATTCGGTGTACCTGAGACATTCTCCAATCTACTCGTGTCATATTACGCTCAATTTAGCAGAATGATAAAAGGTAATTGAGACCATTTTTACGAGGTAACACCGAATTCGTGAATGAAGCACTGAAGCAACTGCGGTAATCTTATTAAAAGTAGCTAAATCTTATTTAACCAGCTTTCTTCTATTGTTATACTTTAAGACTGAAAAATGTCTTAGGTATATAGAATATAAAAAATAATGTTTTAAATGATTGTGGTAAATGAACATATTTATTTGACGAAATACAGTCACTTTCAAAACGTTTATCGGGTTGTCTTTTTCACGATTGATCTAAAGAAGTAAACATATTCCTGAAAAAAATGTAATGCTGGTTAAAGTATAATGCCGTAGCAGCCACATGCGCTAATTCATTTCTTTAATTTTGATTTAGAATAACATATTTTGGGTGCGTTTACTTACTGTGTTATTCGTTTTGGCAATAGCCTAGCACAGATTCGGCATTACTTTTATGTTGCTTGCACATCCCTGCGTTACTGGATATGCACAGTGGCTTTTGTCGTTATCAGAAATAAAGCCAAAATGTAATAAAAAGTAGTGACATTTCTACAGTTCGAAAGTAGTACAGACTTGATAAGATTTTTTTTTCAAAAATTTATTTATCCTAATTCAACTATATAATAATGTTCTTTTTCGTTAAAGTGTTATACTAATAGTTTTTATTACGCAAATGCAAATGGGATTGCCGCGCAATAGCTAACGACAATATCTTTTAATCTTTATAATGCAATGTATCATATTACAAAACTGAGGTCGATATAACATTAACAGTAAAGGCAAGCACAGCATGATTGACTGCACAATGCACAAATGGCGCGATTCAAGTAGAATATTCAAGTAGTCAACGAAAACTGATATCAGCTTACAAAAAAAAATCTAACATTATGCACATTTAATCATGTCCTTTTGGCAGTGATCCAAATATCAATTTTTTGCATTACTTCATTATCAACGGGATAAAGAAGGAAAGCAGTGAATTTTAACGCGCCACGTTTATCATGATTTTTTTATCATCATGATACACAAAGCTATTTTCAATTAAATCCTTAAATTCTACGGTTAAGTTACTAACCAAAAAAGACGTCCTGTCAAAAGGTTAAATGGCCAATTTTTTAAAGCTGTTTTTCTCAATTTGAAGTTATCCTTTGCCCCTCTAATCAAAACAACATATTCTATATAACTTTTACGAGTTGTTTTATTAGAATTCTTTTTTATTTAAACACACATTATCACAATAGTTCATTATATATCATTTTAAGCTTTAATTATGTTAAAGACAATCGAATTTCGTCCAATGTTCAATTTCCGAAAATGGTAACCTTAATCCTGAATTCATTTCTTCAGTTTAAAAGAGGATTTCAGAAGGTTAAAATCTGACATCATATCACACAATAGGACTAATCACACAAACTCGTATCCATATGATTTTTTTAATTAAACGAATGTTATATCAAACAGTCCTCAGATTTAAAAGAAAATAATAACCAAAACAATAACAAAATATATAAGCTACTTGAGCTTAATATATTTAACAAGACATTTAAGTACTTGAAAATCAATATATATCCGCCATGTTTGACAACCTCCATATTGAAATGAATTTCCCTTTGAATTATTTGTTATATAATCAAGTCTACCAAAGATAACTGTTCAACAAAAAATATGATAAAACTTACTTTTTGTATACTTTTGATGAACAAAGTTGTATTTATATCCAAATAGATAAAGAATTAAAGAAATAATTATGAAAGAAAGTCAAATGAATGTCACGTCCTATAAGTCCATTTAAGCGCGTCGTTATGTGTTATTTTTAGATTTTCCGAAAACGAGACTTTCCTATCTTAGTTGTACAATCTATTTTAAACGAGGCAGATTGTAATACAATTATTGTGAAATTTGCAATAAAAAAAAAATATTCCTGTCTGAGTCAGTTGATATGGCAAATCTGTCATTGACAAGATCATTGAAGTCAATACACTTAAACATATCATGCTAGATTTCGAAGGATTGTTATGGAGCGTCAAGTAAGTAGTCAAGTAAGTAACATTAGTAAGTAAGTAAGTAAGTAAGTAAATTGTTTATTATAGTGACATTGTGCATATATCAATTTCACATACATAATAAGAATACATACAAAGACACCAGGCCCATTGGACTAATAAGTCACCTTATATATATGCAAATATACAAAAAGTGAACAATACTTGGCTTTTCAAATGGAACATTTAAATGAGATCAAAGTTCCTGCTCGAGCTGTAAATTACATTATCACAGAACCATTGTTTTTGTCCTGATCATTTAGCATTCATTAAACGAAAACTGTCTGTCAAAGCAGATCTGTATTCTTCATTTAACCGATCAGTTTTATCATCATCATCTAGCTTAGCCTGTTTTGATGTGATTTGTTTCTGCACAGGTTCCTGGGACTTAGTTTGTTTTTCTGCATTTACCTGGGTAGAAGGTTGATTAGGGTAAAGAATGCACCTATCATTGTGTAGTGGATTTCTTATCTGATCACTTGGAGTATCCTCTGGACCCCGATCATGATAAATTTCTAATTTGCAAGCATTTTTCAATGATTGCACTATCTTATCATTTTGTAAGTTCTCAAGTTTGTATGTGAATTGGGACCTAACTCGATAATTTCATATGGTTCTACCCATTTTTCAGTTAATTTAGGTGATAAGCCTTTTTGTACCTTTTCCTGCTTTAGCAAGACTTGGTTGCCTACCCTAAATGTAGGAGTTTTTGTGTTAACATCGCAACGAGTTTTAGACTTGACATTTTGATCATTCATATAAGTTTTTGCAATTTCATGAGATATTTTTAGTTTTTCTATCAATTGTTCGAAATGCTGTCTTACATCTAGCCCTAAGGCTGGTTTTGGAATAAGTAGTGTCTATTGGTAATCTCATAGTCCTACCAAACATAAGCTCATGTGGACTGTACCCAGTGCTTTCGCATGGCACAGCCCGAAAGGCCATCATGATACTAGGCAACATTGAGTACCAGTTTGTTTGGTCTTTGTTAATGTTCGATCTCATAGTTTGAACTATTGTACTATTTCTGCGCTCACATGTTGAGTTTGTCTGGGGGTGATAACTGCTTGTGTGCAGTCGAATTACTTCAAACTCACACAATGCTTTGACCAACTTAGACATGAAGTTTTGACCTCTGTCTGAGAACAGTGTGTGAGGAGCACCATATCTAGTAAATATTTCATTCTAAAGGATATTTGCAACGTCTTAAGCTTCGGTTTTAACGAAAGGAATCTACAACGAATATACATACTGGTTGTCTTCTTTTGTTTTAGGAAGGGGGCCAAGTATATCTATATGTACCCTAGAGAATGGCTCACCAATTGGCAAAGGCCTTAAAGGAGGAGGTGGTTTATTACGTGCAACTTTTACTCGTTGACAAACATCACAAGTTTTGGTATTCTCTTCAATTTCTTTGAACATTTTTGGCCAAAAATTTTTGTCGCATATAGCATGATGTGTTTTCTTTAGTCCAAAATGGCCACCTCCTGCCAAACAGTCATGGAATGCATGAAGTGATGCTTTTCTTTTTGTTCTGGGGACAGGTAACTGAATATGGAGTTTATTGAAATCAATTTTCTGATCTTTTTGATTTTTTGATCTTGTAGTATATAAATGATATAAAACTCCATTACTCATTACATATTGGTTGTTTGCCTCAGCTGAAATTGTATTTGCTCTATCACTATAATTATGCAAAATTCCATTCTCAATGTAATTTATAATGTCTTTAAAATCTGAGCATTCTCTTTGTTCTTTTGCTATGTCATTCAAGTCTAGTTCAGTGTCAGTGACATTAATATATTGAACATCTTCATATTCAAACCTAGCTTCAAAACGTATCTGTGTTGTAGATGTAGAGCTACATTTACCTTGGATATTGTCAGTATTAATTGTAACATTATCATCTGGTTTAGTAGTCACATCACAATCACTCTTACTGTTTACAGTATTTACATGTTCAAACTGGAATGTTTTTGTATATATGGTGTTGCTATTATTCTCATCAGATTCATTTAGAAGGTTCTTACAAGAACTAATATCCCGAATTTGAATATTTTGAGTTTCATTTGATTCTTTTGTTTAATTTAATTGACCATAATCAATTTGTGATATTGCATCGGCATTGGCATTTTTAATACCTGGTTTATGTATTATCTCAAAGTCATAACTTTGTTAGAAAATGCTCCATCTACCAAATTTACCACTAGGTTCATTTTTGTTTGCAAGCCATTTTAATGCATAGTTATCGGTATAAATGGTGAAATGTTTAGTTGAAAGATAATGTTTATGTGCATTTATCCCACAGACTATAGCAAGACACTCTTTTGAATAGACATCCCATTTTATCTCATTAGAATTTAATGCACGACCCCCATAGCAAATTACATATTCTTTATTTCCTTCATCCTTTTGTCCTAATATATATGAAATTGCAGAACCACTAGCATCGGTGGACAAAATGAATTCTTTATTCATGTCTGGAAATCTTATAATTGGGGGTGAAAGAAGTGCACTTTTCAAAATTTCAAATGACTTTTGACAGTTTTCAGACCAGTCAGTTGGTGAGAATTTTTCAACAACTTCCTTTTTTAATAAGGCATTTAATGGAACACAAATTTTTCCAAAATCTTTTACAAATCTGCGGTAATAATTGCACAGTCCAAGAAATCCCCTTAAAGACTTTTTGGTCCTAGGAACAGGAAATTCTTTGATTTTTTCAGTATTAGAAGGATCTACTTGAACTCCTTTGGCAGACAAAATGTGACCTAAAAACATTACTTGGTCTACTCCAAATTTACATTTTGAAGGTTTCAAAGTGAGGTTGGCATCTCTTAATCTCTGAAAAACCTCATTTAAATGATGTAAATGAGTATCAAAGTCCTTTGAAAACACCAAAATGTCATCAATATATACAAGTACATATTTCCAATTTTGACCCTTTAAGACATGCGATATAAGTAATTGAAAACTCATTGGCGCGTTACGAAGTCCGAACGGCATTCGAAGAAATTCAAAAACACCTTCGTGTGTAACAAATGCAGATTTTTCACGCGTTTCTGGGTCAAGTTCCATTTGGAAATATGCTGAGTTTAAATCTAATGTAGAAAATATTGTAGCTTTACTTTCACCAAGAGAGTCAAAAACATCTTCTAGTCTTGGAAGTGGCTGAGAAATGGGCTTAGTTATAAAATTAAGTTTGCGGTAATCAACGGCAAACCTCCAACTATTATCTTTTTTCTTGACCAAGACTACGGGTGAATTCCAAACACTAGTAGACCTTTGAGCTATGTTATCTTTTAAAAATTGATTGGTTTGTTTTTCGATTTCAGCTCTTTTTTCTGGGTTTTGACGATAAGGCGCTGACCTTACAGGTACAGCATCAGGGAATGTTTCAATTTTATGTTTACATAAGCCAGTTTTGCCAATATTTTCTAATGAAGTTGAGAAAACATCTTTGTTTCTCATTAAAAGATTTTGTAATTTCATGTTTTGTTCCACTGTAAGGTTTTTATGACTAACTTCAAATTCAATTTCATCAATAAAATCAGGCACATAGTCATCAGTTTTTGAATCAATATCTATATTTGAAACATTGCTGGTGCTAGTGTCAAAGGATTTGTCATCATCAAAACAAAATACATCATTTTCAACAACAGCATGAACATTAGCCAGTATGCCAGATTTTGACAAGTGTATGTCTTCATTAGTTGGGTTTGCCAATTTCATAACAGTCTTACTATTTTTGGTAGTAACTAAACACCTAGCACCAACAATATTTGTTCCTTGGAGATTCTCAGAGGGTTCAAGTAGCAATGTTTCATTTTTGTGATTCTTACAAATACGGACATCTATGATTGATTCTGAATTAGCTTTTAAGACTTGAGGTTTAATACACCTAGCATAGCCTAGTTTACTACTTTGTATCATGGCAACCGAAATATCAGTTGTTGTGAATCTTACATAATTGTGCTGAAAATCTGCAACACATTTGTAATATGTCTAGTCCTATGATTATAGGATGATGAAGTTCTTTTAGAATGATGAATTTTTGTTCAAACACCAAGCTTGAAATTTGTATAGGTACAGTAAACTTCACTTATAGCGAACACGGTTATAGCGAACTTCCGGTTATACGGAACAATTTATTTTGGCCCGAATTTTGCCCTTCTTTATTTAAAATAAAAATATACGGTTAAAGCGAACACGGTTATAAGGAATTATAATTATTATAAGGAACTCATTTCTTAGTTAAAAGTACAGAAAATTAAACTTTTATAACGAACTCCAAAATATCCGCTATCCCTAAATAGATCCCGCATTTTCAACTTTCGTTTTCATTTGCGGCCAAATGTACCGTTTATTGTTGAGTGTACTTCCGTACATCTATGGAAATGAATTTGTATAGCAGTACGTAATAGTTTTCTATTAAGGATATTTTAGCATGGGTTCTTGTCACCAAGATAAAACGGTTATTCTTAAAAGTTTTATTCTTTTATTTCTTTTCTTAAATAGTTTTGCTCGAGTAAAATAATTATGATCATTAATAATCGGTTTTCAACATAATCAATCATTGAAAACTACAAAGTACGCTTGATTGAAATGGAAAGAAATCTATATCTTTCATTAGTAAAAGTCACTCTTAAAATATAATACAATTAATACATAAAAGGAAGAAAATATCGAAAATTTTGTTTATCCCTACTCATCGAAGCACTGAGTTTAGAAACTAAATATGATATTTTATGAGAAATTGAGAAAGGGAATAAAACTAAACTAAAATTGAAAAGGATTTCAAATTCCAAAAAGTACGCGCTCGGGTATTGTGTCTCAAAAAGAAATGTAATAAATGACTATTATTTCTTAATTAAATGCTCTTCAAAATGACAGACGATGGTAAACAATCAGTTCGTTATATGTTAATCTGTTCGCTATAAAAACTCCTGATACAAGGAACTAGTTCGCTATATGCTTATAAGGAACTCCGGATATAAGGAACATATTTTGAATGTCCCAATGAGTTCGTTATAAGCGGAATTTACTGTAATACTATTGCACCATCTACTCTATGAAACTCACCACCTACACCTCTAACAGGTTGTATTTTTGAAGGGATGATTTGATCATTAAAATTTGGTATTAATTTGAAATGCATCGTATCATCTGTTTAACAAAATTACCTATTACAACGGAATTTTAGAGATCCATTTTGAATTGAATCATAAGTGAAGACAAAAAAGAAAATGAAAGTGTCCGTATAAATGCCGATGATAAAATTTTCTGTCATTTGCCATCACCGCTGTGGGTTTGAATCCGGAAAGGGACTTTGGAGTCTCTCATGTGGTTAAACCATCCAGCTAGCTTATGGAACATCGGTGGCTCTTCTCAACGTCGCCATATGACCTATTCTGTGTCGGTGTGACGTAAAAATGAACAAAATAATATTGTCAAATTAAATTTGATCATTGTGAGTTTATTTTATTATTATTATCTATTTATTTTGTTTAAAATAACTATTTGGTTTTCCTGACGAAATATTTTATTAACTATAAAAACGGATACAATTATTCATAGTTCAGTATGATAGTTTATTTTTAATGTTAGTATTATGGTTTTCAAAGATTAACACATTTATTTGATGCTTAGTTTAAACATATTTATTCCCGATAGCATTCATAGTTATTTATTTACATACAACAAGCCTTCAACAAACAAACTTTTTATTTGAGATAGAAATCTTGTCCTTTGGCGGACTATATAGTCAACTTGAAATTGGTTCAAGCTTAATATACTCTTGGCGATCGAAGACGTATTTCATGATTAAAATGATAAAGTGCAAAAAAGTTTTGTACAGTAAATCTCAAAGTGCAAAAATATAACCAATATAATAAGATGAAAGACCGGGAGCAGTATATAGAGATGATGTTATGACATGTTATGAATACAATGTACGTTAAAGAATTATCATTATTTTTAATGTATATTATTTTGTACATGGGTATATATACTAGCATTACCAGATTTGAAAGCGCCAGGATCACTGTAAAGGAGCATATGTAGGCTAAGGTTGTTGTTTTGCATGTTTCATGGTATGACCTGTGTGGACGGCATCGTATGCACAACAGTCAAAGAAGAATTGATGGGTAGTTTCAATATCACCACTATTAAAACTGCAGTTGGTACCAAGACGTGTATGAACAATTGGTAGTTTATACCTTTCTACATAAAAGTATTTAGGCGCCGGAGTTTTGCCCTTATTCGAAAATGTGCTTAAAAAGAAGACATCATAGGGCTGTTCCGTATATAAACTGGTTAGTGGTTCCAAGTTGGGTTTGGGTTTAATGATACCATGCTAACGATATACTTGTAGTTATCATATACAGTTTTTATGAATGCACCATACGTAACACTACTATAACAGTCTTAGCTGTTAATTTGCTGGTCTTTCCTTATGAATTAGGACTTTCCTTATGAATTAAAAGAGTAATGTAATATTTTCTTTTTTACTATGTAAATGGTAAACCTTCGAAATACTTCAAATACGATGTTGTCTCCCTTACATTTATATATAATTATTTCCTTTCTTAAACTAGATCTGTATCAAAAATGAATAATACATATTACCATAGAAAAAAAGAGTGAAGAAAACTAACAAAGCATCATATATACAATTTAAGGTAATGATATCAGCTGTCCGCGGTCGGTGCTTCCTAACGTTGAGTGTTGTGTATAACTCTGTTACTCATTGGTCAAAATGTATTATTAATAAGCCCCGCCTACTTATCTTATCTAAACATGCCACGCTCTGTATCAAATAAAGTAAATGAATAATAATTCAACATTATAGATGTGGTACTTTTCTTATATAATATTAATATAAAAGTACATCATTATAAATTTTCCTCTCAACGGTACATATTGTTAAGGAATAAAAATTATTTTTGCCCGAAGATAATTTATTTTAAAGTGACATTATGCCTATATAAGTTCCTTACTTCTTTTCTAAACCTGGGGACCTATTTTTTAAGAATTTCAAGTCCCTTTATATAAATTGAAAAATTGTAACAGAAAAAAATCATGGAGTAGCATGTTATTATATTTTATGACAACAATTAAAGAAAATATAACCCAGAAGTAAAAACAAGATATTGTAGACGTTTTATAATGACCCTGAAGTAAATAATTCTGATTTAATTTAAGGGTAGATAACTCAAAAGTGGGATCGGAGACACCCAACTTGTTTCTATTATATTATTTTTGTCACCACATTCTAAGAATATGCCAAATTAAAAAAAATATTTAACAGTTTTAATTTTGCCTGAATGTGTCTATAAAAACTCCCGAAAACGTCCTGAAACCTAGACACTATATATCTGAAAAATGAAAATGAAATTATATGATTTAAAATTAATATGTTTATTTAGATAAATAGATAAAAAATATTTTGTTGAAGGCTTGTGCAAACTGATTACTGTTTAAATAGACTTCCGTGCACGGAAAATTAACAAAAATGATAAGTTATCAACAATTATCAAATACTTGTATCGTGTTATCATTTTGCATTGCATACTTAATTACGAAGTTTCATGGTGGCAACATATTATGTATGCGGGGAAACAAAAAACAATACATGTATACAAGGTATGTATTTATTTAACATTTTTGTATCTTTTTAAAATTAATGTAATATCTTTCACGACTTAAATGTAAGAGAAATCAAAACAGTTAATTTTAGTGTGTTTAATCAAGAGTTTATGTTATCAAGTTTATTTTGATCAATTCATCATGTATAAAGAATACGCTTTTAAACATAGGATATTAGCTTTTTGACTTGCTTACTGGTTGTTTTCTTTTTTCTTCTGTTCAAAATCTGTATATTATCATTATATGTTTTGAAAAAATGTATCGGAAAAGGAAAATACAAAAATATCGAATTTCATTGTATATCGTTATTTCTTAATCTACCAATTATTTTTTAATCCATATTCAACAGGAAATAACTTTTGTATTACACTATTTACATAAGTATTATCTGATTGTTTGGAATTTTTATTACATGTTGGCGTTTATTTCTTCATCTTTACAACAATTTGATATTTTTCATTTATTATCTTCCTGAAATATATTGATAACCTTCCAAATATATTTTTATTTTACAATGACTTTTTTAAACTATTTATATGAATGCATCGGAAAAGGTATATTTTTTTTTCTATAATGAAAATAACGTGTACTTAAACATAACATAATTCAAATACTTTCAAAGTTGAATATGAAAATCTGAATGCAAGAGGTAACGTCTAATATTTAAATTAATCACAACTAGAAAGATATTGAGGTAAAATAATATCTGTTTAAGTATTACAAAATACAAAAGTAGGATAAAATCGAAGCGTAAATTTCTGCCATTCCTGCATTGAATATTTTCAAACCTTATTACGGGATTTGTATAACAAAGTGAAAAACAAAGTCACAGGGTTTTAGTAATGTTACATTTAATGTTATTTTTAATTGATTCTAACAATGTAATTGAAAAAAGACATTTTCAAACATTTAGAGTAGAACCAGTACATGCTTTAGTTCAGAAAAGTGTCCAAAAAGGCAGTATAAGGCGGAACAAAATGATTCTGTATCAATATTGTTTAAGAACAACATAATTATTCTAATTAAATAGTAAATTTTATTCTGTACATATATCCCTTATGATTAAATGTGAGCACAAATACCTACTTGTATATCAATAGTAATATTTTCTTACCGATTAATTGATCTTTATTCAGGTTAAAACAAACATATACATAAATTATACACTATATATACATTTACATATCTAATGATAAAAGTAAAATGATCAAAAGACCTCTCGCCCCATACACAGTATTTAACATACAAATTTAAAGTATATTAAGCTATCTATCTGTCTGCTCTCAAAATTATTGTTTGAAATTTGAAAAGCAATTCTCCCAAATACCTGCATGAAAGAAATATGTTGTGAATTTCCTGAAGGGGGAAAGGCGCTTGTACGAAATTATTGTTAACGGTTAAAACCCTACTTATACCTATATAGCAGCATAATGGTAGGTGCAGGAATATTTATTCTTTTAACGAGAAATATTCATTAGTGTTAAATAAAAGACATGTTATATGAGGCATCGCTTTTAAGCATAGACCACAAGATTATGGAAATAACATATTTTATCTTTTGAATTTTTTATAACCATATTTAATAATATATAGCTTTACACACTTTGACATTTGCGGAAGTATAGAAGTGATCTGATATTTATACAATTTAGACAATCTCTGACTTATCTACATTTGCCATAAAAAATACTTTTTCCATGCTTGGATATTGATGATAATACAATGATACATAATAAAATGAACGAAGATTCACCTATAAAGGACAGACAATTATAAAACAAGATATGTTTGTAAAACATGTATGCCCCCTATCAGCAGCCAATTAGTCATGTGAAAAGGTTATTATGCATGACTTCTGACCCAGTGATCAAACAATTAATAAGGGTTATCAAGTATCTACTGGTCATGACCTTAACCTTTGACCCCTTGACCCAAAACTCAATAGGGGTCATCTGCTGGTCACGACCAATCATCATACAAAGTTTGAAGTTCCTAGGCCTAAGCGTTTTTAGTAAATTGATTGGAAACCGTTTTAACATACAAGGTCAATGTGATCTTGACCTTTGACTCCTTGACCCCAAAATCAATAGGTAATCTGCTTGTCATGACCAATCATCATACCAAGTTTGAAGTTCCTAGGCCAAAGGGTTCTTAAGTTATTGATTTGAAAGCATTTTTACCTACAAGGTCAATGTGACCTTGCCCTTTGACCCTTAACCCCAATATCAATAGGGGTCATCTACTGGTCATGACCAATCACCATACCAAGTTTGAAGTTCCTAGGCCTAAGGGTTCTTTAGTTATTGATCAGAAACTATTTTTACCTAAGAGGTAAATGTGACCTTGACTTTGACCCCAAAATCAATAAGGGTCATCTACTGTTCATGACCAATCACAATATCAAGTTTGAAGTCCCTAGGCCTAAGGGTTCTTTCGTTATTGATCGGAAACCGTTTTTACCTACAAAGTCAATGTGACCTTGACCTTTGACCCCTTAACCCCAAATTCAATAGGGGTCATCTGCTGGTCATGACCAATCACCATACCAAGTTTGAAGTTCCTAGGCCTAAGGGTTCTTTCGTTATTGATAGGAAATCGTTTTTACCTACAAGGTCGATGTGACCTTGACCTTTGACCCCTTAACCCCAAAATCAATAGGGGTCATCTGCTGGTCATGACCAATCACCATACCAAGTTTGAAGTTCCTAGGCCTAATGGTTCTCTTGTTAATGATCAGAAACCGTTTTTACCCAAGAGGTCAAAATGACCTTGACCTTTGACCCCTTGACCCGAAAATCAATAGGGGTCATCTACTGATCATGACCAATCACCATACCAAGTTTGAAGTTCCTAGGCCTTAAAGTTCTTTAGTTATTAATCAGAAACCGTTATTGCTTACAAGGTCAATGTGACCTTGACCTTTGACCCCTTGACCCCAAAATCAATAGGGGTCATCTACTGATCATGACCAATCACCATACCAAGTTTGAAGTTCCTAGGCCTTAAAGTTCTTAAGTTATTGATTGGAAACCGTTTTTGCTTACAAGGTCAATGTGACCTTGACCTTTGACCCCTTGACCCCAAAATCAATAGGGATCATCTACTGATCATGACCAATCACCATACCAAGTTTGAAGTTCCTAGGCTTTAAGGTTCTTTAGTTATTGATCGGAAACCGTTTTTGCTTACAAGGTCAATGTGACCTTGACTTTTGACCCTTTGTTTCCAAAATCAATAGGGGTCATCTACTGGTCATGACCAATCACCATACTAAGTTTGAAGTTCCTAGGCCTTAAAGTTCTTTAGTTATTGATCGGAAACCGTTTTTGCTTACAAGGTCAATGTGACCTTGACCTTTGACCCCTTGACCCCAAAATCAATAGGGATCATCTACTGATCATGACCAATCACCATACCAAGTTTGAAGTTCCTAGACCTAAGGGTTCTTTAGTTATCACTCGGAAACCATTTGGTCTACGGACCGACGGACCAACGGACCGACGGACCGACGGACCGACAAGTGCAAAGCAATATACCCCCTTTTCTTCGAAATGGGGGCATAATAACACTCGTCTTCTAACATTGTTTCTCCTACATAGAAATACGATTTTTTTCTAGAAATATTAAAATTTCCGATTTGCAATCATGAGGGTATGTTATACTTAAAAAACACTTTCAATACATGTTAATATCTAAAACAAAAACATATTTAAGTTTTAAATGTATTAGTGTATTTAATATAATGTCTAATTCAACATTTTTTAAACGCTTCGATTGCCAAATTTGTTTACACTTGTCTTTAAAACACTCTTCATATTGCATAATTGCATTATAAATTGATTTAGTGTGGATGCCAGCCTGTGCCTCTCATATATAAACAATGATTTCGCAATTATAAATTTTTAACTGGAAATAATTTCACACTTTCGATAAAGGCCTTTGTTACTTTATAATCATAAATTATTATCAAATGATGTCATTTAAAGTCATGAGCCATCTAATCAATTTTGTTATTTGCCTCATATAGAATTAGATAATAGGTAAAACATGATAATCATCATTGTTATTTCAGTGTTTAATTGTTAACGAGAATAATTCATACCTAAGTTTCAAATTCATATTTCAATTACATCATATTAACCGCTGCTGATTTTCGACCGCGATATATATATTGACATATACTTTTATTTGAAGACTAAATTTCACACATTGTTGCAGTTAATGCCTGGTTTCACATGAAGTCAATTAGATTCTGTTAGAAGAATACAGTATGGCAGAAAGTTCAGAACATACCACAGGTAGGTCTTATTTTAATGAAGCGTACTTATGAAGTACATGTATACAGATATGTAAAAATTACACATGTTTAAAATGTTACTACATGTACAATGAAGTCATAAGATACCCCTAAACTGAAATCATTGCCTATTTTATATTAAAATCGAAGAAGTATTTCGTAATTATGAAATAATGAGTGTTTTGGAAAAATTTTGTAAAGAAAACTTAATTAAAGAAATTGAACAAATTTATAATAGATCACTGTAACGTACAGTCTGTATGATGTCCCTATATTCCCTGAAAGGGCCTTTAAGGCCCCCGCTTTTTAAAACAGAACGAGCCATTTGTGTATTAGAAATGATAATACCTAAAGAACGCTAGTGTGCGAAGTCATTGCCATTTTTTTAAATATTCAAAGATTTTATGGAATTAAGGTAGAGCCCTGAAATAATTCATCTGCTGAAATTGACAATGACAAATAGAGCATAATTATGTCAATTAAATCTACTAATATTACAATACGTCCACGAAGCTGAAGTAGCATTTCGCACCCGCGCATTCTGCGTAGGGCAAACGAAGCGAAAATTTTAAATTGTTTATTTAGTTGTTTTATTAAAGGATCTAAATATAGCTGCAATCTCATTGGTCCAAACAGTAGTCAACAGAACTTTTTTATAGAATCTAGTATCATATTCACTGGCTGAATTGGATTATCTCCGGTCTAAAAATAGATTCAATGACGATATTCGTATATCGTAGACTGTTTATTAAAATTAATTGTTGTGTTTTGTTCTTTAAGGCATATTTCTCGAATAAGATATCATTACTTTACATACTTGCACTTTCCAGTACCGTCCATGAACAGGCTCAATCAAACCGAGCCTGCTACATTTTACAATGTTGCCGTATACGTATAGACCCTTTCATTTAAGCGATAACAGTCCGGGAAGAGTTACTTCCCTTACCGGATGTGACGTAAATGGGGGATAAAACTATGCAGGCCGCATAGAATGGTAGCTTATTAAAAGTTTAATGCGTAAATACTAATCGTTCAATTAGGATTATAACATGTAAAAATTTACGCATGCATACATAAACTAAATATCAAGACAATAGAAACAATAAATAACATTAATGTAAATAGAAAGAATTCGGATACTGTTGTAAATCATTATGGTAACCAATTGATTGACCTATGTAAAAATAACAATATTTTCCTTTGGAACGGAAGAATTGGAGAAGATTATTGTGTTGCTAAATTAACATGTAAGAACACAAAGTACTATAGATTATTTTTTGTCATCATCTTATGTTTTTGAAAATGTTGTAGACTTTAAAATCATGAACTTTTGCAGCCTACTTTCTGATGTGCATTGTGCTCTAGAGGCTGTAATTAAAAGTTAAATCATGTGACATTGTTAATACAGCGGTACAATGTAAACGATTTACCCCAAAACTAATATTATGGGATTGTAAAAAAGAACTGAATTGTTTGCTGAAAATCTTGATATTTTTAAGATTTCTGAAATTGAAATGAAACTTGACCAATTAAACGAGAATGATATTGTTTTACAAAATGAACTGGATGATATTGTATTTAATATTTTCAAATTTGTTTCAAGAAAGTTCAGAAATTTCTTTTGGGTTTTGTACACAAAAACCAGACAAATCAAGTGAAAAGAATACATTTCCATGGTTTGATAGGTCATGTAATATGATGAGAGATACCTATCATAAAACTAGAAAAGCTTACAATAAATTTAAAACTCCATATTTCAAAGAACTATTAAAATCTGTAAGTAAACAGTATAAAGGTACTTTACGAAAGGCGAAGAATAATTTTAATAATAATACAATCATCAGCTACGTAAATTAAAGCATACTGACCCCTAAGCAGTATTGGAAGATTATTAATAAAACAAACGTTAAACAAGAAAATATTGCTTCCCTTGATGACTTTTTTGAGTATTTCAAACGTCTAAATGATAATACAGCTGCTGATGATAATGATTATAGAAATGAAAATTATACAGGCGATGATGCTACAATGAACGAAGGAAATAAATGGCCCTATAACAGAAAAAGAAATTTTAGATGCTGTTTTAAAAGTCTCAAAACAAATAAGTCACCAGGGGTGGATCAAATTCTTAACGAGCATATGAAAAATTCTATCGGCTTGATGTAAAAATTTATAAAAAACTTTTTAATATATTTTTGATAAAGGTGTTATTCCTGAGAGCTGGACTATAGGACATATTAAACCTATATATAAAAATAAAGGGAATGTTAAATTACCTGAAAATTATCGTCCAATATCACTTTTAAGTTGCTTTGGAAAACTCTTCACATGTTATAATAAATCAAAGGTTGAATAAATTTGCTGATAGCACGAATCTTATACATGAAACACAAGCAGGGTTTAGATAGAAAAACTTTTCTACTGTTTGTTGATAATATTTTTATTCTAAAATGTCTAATCGATATTGTACAATCCAATAGGAAAAAACATTTATTGTTGTTTTCGTTGATTTTAAACAGGCCTTTGATTCCGTGTGGAGGGTTGGATTATGGCAAAAATTGAGACACAAATAATATAAATGGAAATGTTTTAATGTCATTAAAAGTCTTTATAATAACATTAAATCGCGAGTGGTAACTTCTGAAGGATGTACGCCTTTTTTCGAACTGTCTTGTTGGGGTACGTCAAGGGGAAAACATGTCTCCTTTTTATTCTCAGTTTTCTTGAATGACCTTGAAAAGCTATCTTAATATAGTAGTGGTGTAAATGGAGTTTCTAGAGAAGCTTTTGTTGAAGGGGTGCGGGTTTATTTGAAACTTTTTATTTTACTTTACGCTGACGACACCGTCATATTCAGTGATAATTGAAGAAGATCTTCAAATTGCTTTAAATAAATTCAAAGAATACTGCGATCAATGGAAATTAAACATTAATGTAAACAAAACAAAAATTATAGATTTTCAGTAAAGGCCGTCCTACAAAGTTGTAAAGTGTTTACAATAGGAGAAAACGTTCTTGAAGTTGTAAATGAATATAAATATTTAGGTATATACTTTAATAAAAGTGGCTCTTTTTATAAATCTAAAATTGCAATTGCAGAACAAGCAAATAAAGCTATGTTTGCATTGTTAAGGAAAATTAAATTGTTAGCTTTACCGTTTGATTTACAAATTGAACTATTTGAAAAGACAATCAAACCAATTTTATTATATGGAAGTGAAATTTGGGGATTTGGCGATGTTTCTGTTTTGGAAAAAGTTCAACTGAAGTTTTACAAATATATTTTTAATTTAAAAAAAGTCTACACCGTCTTATATGGTGTACGGAGAGACAGGCATTTTTCCTTTAAAAAATTCATATTAAAAATAGGGTTGTATCATTACTGGCAAGACTTTATTGATTAATATAAATAGTAAATGAAACAGCGAAACTATCATCAAAGTTTGTATATTGTTTTAAGGGAAACTGCACAAAATAAATTATTTAGTTAAGTCACTCTGGATACGAAAATGTAAAAACAATTATTTATGTGAGAACAAGTTTTTTTCCTGGAATATGGTAATGCTCAATGTTTTAGCAGTTAAGTAAATGGCTTTATTAAAGCAAACTTTTCAGAAAGTTAAAAGAATATCTATATTCAAAGCTGGGAGAGCTGAAATTAACAATACGTCAAGACTCAAAATTTGTTATAAATATATAAAAGAAAACTTTTGTCTAGAAGCGCTTACATAGACACATTACCTAATGTATTTTGCTAGGAAATTTTTTATGTTTTTAACAAGGGAACCATCGACTTTCCAATTGAAACGGGACGTTTGGCAAAACATACCCATAAACGATCGTTTAAATGCACTCCTTTGTAGAGTATATAGGAGATGAATTTCATTACATTTTTAAATGTCCAATATTTGAAACGAAAGAAGGAAAATATCATAGATAATTTTTACCGACAAAGACCAAGTATGTTAAATTCATAGAAACTATTAAATGTTTAGAAATATGAAGAAAATTTAAAATTCATATCGTATTGTAATAAAATATCAAACTAATTATGTAACTGTGACTAATAATGTTTATGCATTAGATATTAAAATTTCTGTTTAAAACAGATATTCTGTAATTTTAATAGTTCACATAATGTTTATGAAATCTGTCACTTGTGAAACATAAAAATACTACATTTTTTGTAATGAAACATTACTGACAAAAAATGCCTTTAATGCTGGCAAATATTTGGCATTATTTTTTTCTTGTGCAAAAAAAAGTTTTTTGTTAAATATCTTTTTTTGAATTTTTTTGTTTAAAAAAAATTTTTTATTTTTTTGGTTTGTTTTTTGTTTGTTTTTTGTTTTTGTTTTTTAAAAAGTTTTTTCTTTTATGGGGTTTTTTGCCTGTTATTTTGTTGTTTTGTTTTTTGTTTTTAAAAATTGTTTTGGGGTTTTTTTTTTTTTTTTCCCTTTTTTAATTTTTTTTTTTTGATTTTGTTTCGAAATTTTTTTTTTTTTTGTTGTTTTTTAAAAAATTTTTTTTTAAAATTGGATTGAATGAAATTTTTTTGTTTTTTTTTTTTGGTTTTTTGTTTTTGTTTTTTTGTTTGGTTTGGTTTGTTTTTGGTTTTTGAAAGGGGGGGAAAAACTATTTGAATTTTTTTTTTTTTTTTTTTTTTTTTAAATTTTTTTTTTTTTTTAAAAAATTTTTTTTTTGGGTTTTTTTATTGTTTTGTTTTGTTGGTTTTTGTGTTTGTTTTTGGGTTTTTTTTTGTTTTTTGAAAAAAGGTTGGATGAATTTGGGGTTTAAAAAGGTTTGTTTATTTTAATTGTTTTTTTTTGCGGTAAAAATTTTTTTTTTTTTTAATATTTTTTAAAAATAAATGGTTTTTTTTGTTTAAATGGTTTTTGTTTTTGTTATTTTTTTTGTTCCGGGTTTTGTGGTTTTTTTTTTTAAAAGGGGTAAAAAATTGTTTTTTCGTTTCTAAAATAAAATTTTTTGTTTTTAAATTTTTTTTTTTTGTTTTTAAAAAAATTTTTCCGGGGTTTTTTTTTTTTTTTGGAAAAAAAGGAAAATGTTTTTTTTTTTTTTTTTGGAGTTTGTTTTTGTTTTTTTCTTTGGTTTTAAAAAAAAATTTTTTGTCTTTTTTGTTTTTGGTTAATGGGGTGGGTGTAAAAAAATTAAAGGGTTTTTTGTTTGGGTTGGTTTTTATTTTTTTGGGTAGTTTTAAAAAAAAATTTTTTTTTGTTGTTGTAAAAAATTTTGGGAATTTTTTTGGGGTTTTGGGGGGGTTTTTTTTTTTTTTGGTTTTTGTTTTTTTTTTTTTTTTTCCGTTTTTTGAAAAAAAAGTTTTTTCCCCAAAAAAAAAAAAGAAATTAAAAAATAAAAATATTGAAAAAAAATTTTTATTATTGCAAAAGGGTTTTTTTTTTTAATTTCTTTTTATTCGTCTAATAAAAAACTTTTTCATAAAAATTTAATTATAATGAATATTTAAAATTGTTTAATAAATATTTAAGTAAGAAAATATAAAAGATGGGAAAATTTTTAAATAATAACTAATTGTTTTTTAAAAATACAAATTTAAATTTTAATTTTAAATATCTTTCAATCTAGATGGTAAACTTTTGTATTTTTTATTTATGACTTGAATATAGTAAAATTCAATAATATAAAGTTTTAAAAGCCTTTTGAAAAAGTGTCATTTATACACCTAATACCTTAAAGCAGTAAGTCTGAATACCAAAATTATGAGTTGATATTATAACAGATATTAGAAAGAATGCGGGGCTAAATGAGACTGATTCAAATAAGTATGCGAAATCCCTTTGTTGAAAGTACATTTGGTATTAAAAAGGTTTTTAATAACATAAATTTTGATAATCAAAATTTATAACTTATACAAAAATTTAGTAACTTTTAAATGTACATTCTTTTGAATTAGATATGTGAAGTAACTGAAATATGTAAAGATGAAATAGATCATGTATCATTTCATGTTCTTAACTAATCAAAATTTTGCAAATTTTTTAAAACCCATGTGTGACTTTTAAATTTTCTGTGAGGAATTATTGTAAGATCAGATATAAGACTTAAAACTAGTTGACCAATATGCAAGAATAGAATCCCCCTGTCGGGAAAGCATAAATGGCCGTGTCTTAAAAAGATCTATAGTCTTCATCAGCACTTTTTCTCTGATAAATGCATAGATCCTTAATCTAATTTTTTTAACAGATTCAACAGATAAGTTGATTACAATAAGATTTTCACACAAACCACAATATTTTAAATTTGTAAACAAAAGACCACATGTCAATGTTTGTTGTGATTTAAATAAAAGGTCAAAGTAGGAATCTATCAAATGAATAAACTTATGAATAATTAAGATAGCATCGTGCGATACAGAGTGTTCTTAAAGTTACAGTGTAGAAATTAGTCATGATTGTATTGTAAATTAAAATTAAAAATTTAAATTAAAAGCTAAGAAATTTAAGTTTGAAATATACAATAAAAAATAAAAATTTGCAGATTAGAAAAGTTGCTGTTGACCTATTTGAAAATAAAGTATTAAAGAAATAAGAATTGTTTCAATGGTGCATGCATGCCATTTATTAAATAAGTAGTGTTTTATGCTTTCTTTTTCTAATATCAGGTTTAGTGCATTAGATTTTAAAGTATACGTTCGCATTTACCTTGTAGATACACTTAAAAGAAATTTGAAGACAAACCAAATAATTACAGCTTTGAACAAGGAATTAAACTTCATATAAAATCATCTCAGTTTCAGTGAAATTAATAGTTAGTTTTATAGACGGTTAATAACAAAAGATCTGTCTTAGCTCCATCTAGTTCTTAAGGAACTTATTTTATCATAAGTTTTTTTTGTTATATTGATATAAATAAATGTAAATTTGTTTTATTTCTTACATTTGTTTATCATATCAGGAACGAACGCAAGTGGGTTTCGGTCACCACCAGAGAGTTATGTATTCGACAATCTTATTGCTGATCTTTCAAATGCAATAACAAAAGAAGAACTGAAAGATCTCAAGCAACGATTCAAAAGTAAATTATTGTTTTAGTTATATTTATTATACAAGTAATTGAAAAATACACAATTGTTTCATGAATTAGAGAAAAGATAAGGTTTAAAGAACATGAATATTAACTATACAACCTCGTTATATAAGTAACAAACAATTACAAACGTGTTTGACAAGCGCTATGGGTGCGGAACGTGTTTCCCTGTCAATTATTTCTCAAATAACCAACTCAATTAAAATTAGAATACGGTTTAAAACTATTTGTTTTCGATTTCTTTGCTCATATATATAAAATTTAACAAAGAATAATAGGCAATTATTATTTTTAATATCAGATGTGCAACATGTAGAGAGTCCACTAGAGATGTTCGGCTATCTGAGAGATCAAAGATTTATTGGCCCTCACAACATACTGTATATCCAGCAAATCGTTCGTGTTCTTGAAAAAGAAGATCTGGTTGAAAAGTTGGAAAGATATGTAACCATGTTTGAGGAGGATAAGGTTCTTCATTTTTTTCCAGAGATAACAGTTACAGGTACATTTGCATAAAATTATATAAAATAAACGAATTCATTTGCCAGTGAACAAAGAATTAAATTGATTAAAAATCCTCAATGATTACGACATCTAAAAATTACATAATTTTTCAAAACGTCCACAGCATTGTATTTATATTTGTTGATTAATATTTTTAAATAATTTCATTTCTTTTGTATGTGACTGCACCTTTGTATAGCTAAATGCACATGGATATAGTAACCATACTTAACCAACAGATCAAAATTTCTATTTTAGCTGACGGTTATAGTATGATCAAGTATCATATCAAAGGTAACGGGATTTCGGAAACTAGTCAACTGGAAGAGTTTCGGAGAGAAGTAGCTCGGTTATTGATTTGTCCTCTCCATGAAGTCAACATTAACGGTATACAAGAAACGAATAGCACTATCTTAACACTAATGATTCCAACAATGTATGTTGATTTCCTTGCTAAACGACTGGACAAACACAATCAACGAATCATAAGGTCATTCATGGAACTAAACGTTGACACAGTGACCTTCAATAACAATGAGTTAAAGCTTCAGATGGAAGGTTCGTAAATATTTAAATTGAATAGTTATAAATTCTCCTTCTTAAGATAATCAATGCATTTTCCCCAAAACAGTTGAAGATTCTTCTGCCTTAAGGCAATTTGAAAGCATATAATACATTTTCCATTACAGAATTATAGAATTTACTTATCAAACTGTATCAGCGTTTTTCATTCTTTTAAAAATGATGTATTTCAATAATAGATAAATTACATTTTATAAATATAATTAGATTTTAAAATGTTTAAATTAGCTTTAAGGTTCTAAGCGATCACAAAAGAAAAATAGCAAAAAGTTTCTTTTTTGTTTTTCAAAGGAAAGTTCTATACGGCTAAGAAAGGAAGTCGTGAGCATGGAGAGGTTAAATTTGCCGAAAAAGAAAACATTAAAACTCAACGAGATGCAATCAAGCAACAAACAACAAACGCGCAAACAGTGAGAAAAATTGAAAAAAGATCTCGCGAAAAAAATGGAATCGTAACAAACGGTCATAGAAGAAGTATTTCCCCACCTAGGAAGATTTTAGTTTTATGATATTCTTAAACATAAGATACCATGATTGAACTTCTAAAAAGTGATGTTAAAACAATAAAAGACGAACATTTAGAGAGACGTCATTTTAACGTATTTGTTAAGGATAGTGACAATTATGTCATTAGAAAAGCATCTAAATATCAACCAATGCATTTTTCAGGCGTAAAATTAAAAAGTTATGTTATTTAAACGAATGGATTTTAGGACGGTCTTTAGGGATACCGTTTTTCTCTATGTTACTTTTTGAAATTGATATTGTTTAGAAGACCTGCTTTATTAGAATATCATATTCGTGTAGATTCAATACTAAATTTATTGAACTCGTTAAATAAAACAATATTATGCTCGCCAGAGGCTTGCATAATATGATTTTATTCAACTCGTCCAATATGTTTAGTATAAAACCTACAGTCATTCAATATCCTCTATACATGTTATATTATTTTCGAGAAATCGGTAGAGAAAAAAGAAAAAAAGAATCGTGAGTTGTTAGATTGTTATTATAAGATGAAAAGTGTCAGCGAGGTAATACAATTTAGAAGTTAATATTTATTATAAAAATAACTTATAAAAATAAAGAACTTAAGAAAAAATGGAAGAATGGATTATGCAAGGGTCAAGTCCATGTCAGAGTGAAATATTTATCATTCAAAATGATCTATACGTTAAATGTGATTTTGAACCTGTGAAAATAAATGAGTAAATGTCGTTGTCCGAAGATTCATTGCCAAATAGAAGGGTATCTAAAGTAATTAGGTCGATATGTGAGATATTACTGAGAAGATCGGCTGTTTGGTCTGTGTGAATCGAACAGTGTAAGTGAAAGTGATATGTATCTTCAAGTTCGCCACAAGCACACGCAGCTGAGTCTATACTGTTTTTGTTAGTACAGACATTCTTTTAGGGAGCTACAGTGCATTCGAATATGTGTGTTTATTATAGCTATATACCTATAGTAGAAAGAGGGTGGTTTTTGATGTGTGCTAGTTTAGAGCTTGTTTAACAACCGATACAGATGTGGCATTTTGTATGTCAGATGGAATTGAGTTCCAAGAAGAGATAGTTGACGGTAGGGAATATTTAGAAAGAGCTGTGCATTGCAATGTATATATCTCAAATGATCCGAGTCCCAAAGGCTGTAAGAATAGGTGTTTCCAATAATACGGGGGATATGGTCCGATAGAAAAGGGGGTGACTTTAAATGTATCATTTTATAGAAGAATGTCAGTCTTTGATCTTGAAGAGGCCTGAGATAAGATTCTTTGTAGAGTTTTTCGAATGAAACCAATTGTGCTGCTCGTGCGATAATTCTAGCTGCCTCTTTTTGTATTATCCCAAGTTCCTCAGCCTCTGCAATAGTGATATCTTCCCATACTACATCAGCGTAATACTATTCAAGATTCAGGCGAATGAAGGACATATAAACAATAACAATTGATTTTGTCC